CGTCCACCCCATCTTGCTCCATGCAGGAGTCCCCACGTGGCCTGTTTTGGATGCCAGGTAAGTGCAGGGCCTACGGAGAGGCTCGTTGAGGGAGAAAAATGGGTCTCCCAGATCTCTTATTGGGAGTTAACAGGTCTGGCACTGCCTGGGTGCAGTTAACATGCCCGACTCTGAGGCACATAATTCCTTGTCATCCTTGACCCTGGTTTTCCCCACCCCCCACTCCCTGGGTGTATCGTAATTCATATTCTCCAATGGGACACCTCCATAGCCCCGAGTCATCAATCATGTTCTCCAGTTAGAATTTTGTGTGGCAGAAACTTTGGTCACCTAGTTACTATCTTTGAAAACATTTATGGAATGCAATTTCGGTTTGCAAGCGGCTGCACTGCTCCCCCCCCTCCCTTTCTGTTGGCAATTCTAAAAAGGCCATAGAAATATTTTATGAGTTGACACTCACCACCACCCCCTTCACTAGGGCTTATTTTGGGGGTAGGCACAGGCATGTAAATTGGGATAGGGCTTATTTTTGGGAAAACACAGTATTTGTGATAACCGTGATCATAATTTATCGCTTATATCTTTTATATACTCTGAGAGCTTATGCACCGAAGACCAATTCCTTGTGTGTCCTATCACACTTGGCCAATAAAGAATTCCAATTCTAAATCAGAATCTGAGAAGGCCGTTTTTGTGTCGTCGGACATTAGACACACCACTCATACACAAAGGAAAACCTGCCTTGCTTTTCTGAGATCCAGGGTTCAAACTAGCAGCATCGGAGAGCCCCGTGTTGGTCAAAAAAGTCAAAATGGCGACCACGGCCAAGAACACTGACTCTTTCTTACAGTGTTGAGTTTCAATCTTGATTTTGGGGGGTCCTGTCCCCTTCCCTGTCAATGCCTCAGGGCAACCTCTAAACTGCACCCACCGGAAGATCTGCTGTCTTTGCTTAAGTTCTTCTTTCCGATGTTGTTGCAACCTTGGCAGATGATCCATAGATGGTGTCTTGGCTGCAAGGAGAGCAACAAAGTTGGAGATTAGCCAGGGGAACTAATTGCCTTCTTTATTTTTATTTTTTTGTAAAAAAATGTATTTTATTTTAAAGCAAACAAATCATCTTCCATTTAAACTATGTGTCATCTGGGTACAAATATCTTTTGCAATAACAATTACAGTTTACACATTGTATTGGTATTCTCTATCCTTACTTAATACTGATATACATAATGGGTCTAATTATTATAACAATCCCTATCCTAACGTGTTTATTTCTATTAGCACATTTTCTATATTTCACGGGTCCTTTTTTAATTACTAATTTCCATGTTTATTCTCAAGCTATCAGTAAAAAGCTTGCCATATCAGATAATATTCAGTTTGTCCCTTCTAATTAATTGCCAGTGTTAGTCTAAGCATTTCTGCACATTCCGATATTTTCTCATCAGTCGGAATCTCTTCACTTTTCCAGTTTTGTGTAAATACAATCCTGGCTGCAGTTAATACACGAATAATTAAATATACATCCTCTCTAACTATAATTTTCAGATAGGATGCCCAACAAAAATATTTCAGGTTTTAAATCAATATGTAGGTGGGCGTGGCTAGGTGGTCATGTGACTGGGGGGGTCATGTGACTGGGGGGGTTCTTTTTTTCTTTTTTTTCTTTCGCAGCAACCTCCCGCGCCCCATTTTTGGCCTACTGGGCCTCAGGGAAGCAACGTTTCACCCCTGCATCATTTGTAGCAGCTGATCAGTGCTTAAATTTTTACCCCGACAGATTCGCTTAGAGAATCCAGTCAAGAAAAAAAAAATGGAGACAAACTCACTGGACAAATGTCTCGTCAAGCCACAGAAATGTTGGGCTCAACGGCAGTCGTAATGCAAGGGTTAGCTTTGGTGAGTGTAGACGGGAACCTGAAGACCACAAGTGTTGTGGTTCTCCGGCAGAACGGGGACCAGTCCGGGAGTCTGGGGAGGACTCAGGTGAGGGTCCTGCGTCTGATGCAGAGATGGGGCCAGGGCCATCTGGGAGTGGGCTGCTGCCTCCAGAGCCTTTGGAGTCTGGCAGCAGCGAGGCAGAGGAACCAGGGGAGCCTGTTCCCAGTGTGCATGTGCACAGAGCTGCTAGAAGGCGAGAGCAGCTGAGACAAAAGGGGTGACTCGGGAGTAAGGCTGGGAGGTGATTGTCCCTCCCATAAGGGATAAAGGACAGGCCAAGATGACGAAACCTTTGCAGGAAGCAAAGTCGTTCGTTCGGTTCAGACTCATTCTTGAAGCTCTTTGTACTTCAGTTGGGTTTTTTTTTCTAGTTCATTTGACACTTCTGTTAGGAAAGAAAGAAAGGTGGGTGCTTATCTTGAGGGACTGTTTGAGATTCATTACTGCTAGGGATGAAAATAATTCCCAGCATTGCAATAAAATAAGACTTGTTTTTAAAATAAGTGTCTGCGTAATTACGGTCTAGGATGCCTTGGTCAGGCCAACAACTTCTCCTCTTTTCCTTGAGTAGACCTACTTACCAGTTCCTTCTCTGAGCTCTATTGGCCAGGGGTGCTCTATCCATTGGTAGCAAGGGAAGTGGTAGGCCACCTCTTCGGCCGACGTCACCACCACAAAATCGCAATACAAGCTGTCCTGTTGATCTTCCCTCAAATCCTCTCTTTGGAGACGGAGAAGAATGATCTCTCCTAGGTTGCATTCACTAGTGATTTTGAATTCGGTCTTCTTCTGTGGACGAAAACAATCCGGAGAGGCACCGTGGAAAATTAAAGAGAGCTTCATGAGCAGGGGTGGGATTGGGATTCCCCCGGTATAACAACGGGTTCGGTGACAACGGTGCACTCCGCATTTCAAACAGCTCTAATACTTACCTTCTACAGCAGACCCTGTGAAGAAAACAGCTGAGGTGTAAACCAGCTGTGCCCTAAGGAAAGGAAGGGCAGGAAAGAGCAGGGGCTGGCAGGCAGGCTCACATGGTCATCGCAGCGAACCAGTTTGGAGAAAGCGGCTCGTCGGAGCAAGGAGTTCGTCCGAACCGGATGAATCCCACCCCTGTTCATGAGTCTGAGGAATCTCAATAACAGAGTTGGAAGGGACCTTGAAGGCCTTCTAGTCCAACCCCTGCTCAGGCAGGAACCCGGTGTCATTTCAGACAAATATTTGCTCAATCTCTTTTTAAAAAAAACTTCCAGTGTCTGATCATTCACAACTTCTGGAGGCAAGCTGTTCCCCTGATTAATTGTTAATTGTTTCTAATTGCTGAAGCCCATTTTTTGTCCATAGAATTGACAGAATCTTGCATTTGAAAGATCTCTCTCTCTCCCTCCCTCCCTCTCCCTCTCTCCCTCTCTCTCTGTTTCCCTCTGTCTCCCTCCCTCCCCCTCTCTCCCTCCCCCTCGCTCCGTCCCCCTGTCTC